ATAAGAAATGTTTTAGTCATTCATTTTCGTTAACTGCATGATCTCGCCAATGAAGAAGTATTTTTAGTCATTCATTTTCGTTAATTGCATAATCTTGCCCATGAATTTATTGACGTATACCTGCTTTCGCATAAGAGAGTGTCATGTGCTTGTTTAGAATTAAAATTGCTTAACACCAACTGTTCGAGTGCTTCTTTCCAAGTCCATGCAAAACTATCTTATTCTTGATAACTGTATCCTGTGATGAGATCTGAAACTGGAGACCTAAAATAACATAAACACACTAAGATAATCGGTAAACGTTTAATCGATGATAATCGTGTTATCCTGATCGATATAACTCTGGATAAACGAAACTAAGCCTAATTATCACAACTGCACACATTAACATAATCGCAAGCGTCCGCATAAATTACTACGATTATCTCCGCGATTATCATAATTTATGCATATAATTACACACATTATCATAATTTATGCACGTTAATACACACATTAACATAATTAATGCGATTTGCGCATTTTTCGGAAAATTATTAATTTTTATTATTTTCATCAAAATTTCATAACACAACAAATACAACAGTGTAGAATGGTTGACGGAGCCTATTATTATGTTGGGGTGTGGTGCGGCTGAAATCGCTGCCAGGTATGCTCCAAATATGGGAAGTTAAATATTTTTTGCATGATTAATAACATCTTTCCAATGATTACTAAGTTTGTACCCATCATCACGGTTGAAATTATGTCTGTATTTGCATATTTGGATGGCCTCGTGTACAAACCTTTGATGGTAGCCAGGAGGCTTGCAGAGCACCTTAGTCTCGGAAAAGACAATTTAATGAGAGCCCACAGCGTTGTAGCAATGATCGGCAATGGCGGAAGAATCAGTTTTGCCGTGTTTCAGATCTGACTTGTGCTCGCGGACACGATCAGAGATATGACGTTTCGTTTATCCAATGTAGCAATCACCACAACTGCAACTCAGTTTGTAGACTCCAGGGTATTGTAAGTCAGGAATGACATCTTTCACAGATGGAATTAGGTCACGGATTTTATGTACTGTACTGAATCGGACTTGAATCTTATGTTTGTTTAGAAATTTAGAGATCTTTTTGGTCACGCCTTATATGTATGGTAACGTGATAGTTTTGATTGGAGTTTCTTGTGGCTGTTTCTGTATGGTGGGAGAAACAGCTTGGCGGATGGTGCGGTCAGAGTATCCGTTCATCCTGAGGGCCCGATGTACATGTCTTAATTCACTGGCCAGGTGGTGTTGGTCAGAAATGCCATGAGCTCTGTGGTATAGCGTTTTGATGAGAGAATTCTTTTGAGATGGGTGGTGGTGGGAATCGGGTTTCAAGTAGGAATCTGTGTGGGTGGCTTTCCTGTCGACAGAATGTCCCAAGGATTCGTCAGGTCTTCTCTCAAACAGAATATCTAAGAATGGTAGTTTACCATCTTTCTCCACTTCCATGGTGAATCTGATGGATGGGTGTCTGGAATTGATGTGGTCCAAGAAGTGGTTCAATGCTGGGAGGCCATGTGGCCAAATGACGAAAGTGTCATCCACATACCTCTTCCACAGGGAAGGACGCAGGGTGGATGTCTGGATGGCGTCTGATTCAAACTTTTCCATGAACATGTTGGCTATCACTGGTGACAAGGGGGAGCCCATAGGGGTACCCTCATTCTGTTTGTAGAAGGTCCCATACCAAGTAAAATATGTGTTGGTGAGGCAATGCCTAACCAGCGCAGGTACATCCGAATTCAATCCATGTTGGACCAAGTCCTCAATTATTGTTAGGGTGTCAGGTACTGGGACCTTGGTAAACAGAGATACTACATCAAAACTGACGAGGATATCATCAGGAGATAGTACCATGTCCTTGACCATAGAGACTAATTGGGTTGAATTGAGTACTGCCGAAGAGGTCTTGCCTGTGAAGGGAAGCAGAGTATCTGATAGAAACCGGGCCAGTTTGTACATAGGAGAGTTGATCGTCGACACGATGGGTCGTAGCGGGGTGCCTTCTTTATGGATCTTGGGAAGACCATAGAGTCATTGCTACAATGCTGTGGGCTCTCATGAAATTGTCTTTTCTGAGACTAAGCTGCTCTGCAAGCCTCCTGGCTACCATCAAAAGTTTGTACACGAGGCCATCCAAATATACAAACACAGACATAATTTCAACCGTGATGATGGGTACAAACTTAGTAATCATTGGAAAGATGTTAATAATCATGCAAAAAATATTTAACTTCCCATATTTGGAGCATACCTGGCAGCGATTTCAGCTGCACCACCCCTACATAATAATAGGCTCAGTCAACCATTCTACACAACAAAGACTCATTTCTTGGCAGCGAGTTAAGCCGCACCACCTCTACATAATAATAGGCTGTCAACCATTCTACACAACAAAGACTCTATTCCTGACAGCAAGTTAAGCCGCATCACCGTACATAATAATAGGCTCAGTCAACCATTCTACACAACAAAGACTCATTTCCTGACAGCGATGTAAGCCGCACCACCTCTACATAATAATAGGCTCAGTCAATCATTCTACACAACAAAGACTCATTTCCTGGCAGCGATTTCAGCCGCATCATCTCTACATAACAAAAAGGCTCAGTCCCTTTTACACGCACCTTTACATCATCCGCACCTAGTTTACACAACAAAGGCCCATTCCTAACAGCGTGCTTCAGCCGCAACGAACCTCACAAAAATAATATTCAGGGCCTACCAAGTGAGAGAGGAATTTCTCTCACTTGATACAGCTATCGTGCTGTGACGGTTCCACGTGAAGACGGAAGCTTGTGTTGCCTCCGAAACGTCGTGATTTTTATTTTTATTTTACTTTTATTAATTTAAATTTTTTACCTACGTGACTTTACCGAAAAAAACCTAAGATAATGAATCCTTGCAGTCACGAAAGCTTCAAATCTAGAATCTATGTGGTGAGTCTACGGGTCTCTGTGGTGAGTCTATGTGTTTGTGTGATGAGCCCATAGACCTCTGCGAGTCTTACTCTGCGAGTCCGTGGGTGTGTTTGAGTCTGTGGTTCTGTGTGATGAGTCTATGCGCCTTTGTGTAAGTCTATGGGTCTCTGTGTGGTGATTATATGGGTCTCTGTGTGGCGAGTCTGTGGGTCTCTATGTGAGTATGGGTACGATTGAGTCTATGGGTATCTGTCTGGTGAGTCTATGTGTCTGTTTGGTGAGTCTATAGGGCTCTGTGCGAGTCTGTGGATCTGTTTGAGTCTGTGGTTCTCTGTCTGATGAGTATATGGGTTTTTATGGTGAGTCTATGGTTCTCTGTGCAAGTCTGAGGGTCTGTGCGTGGTGAGTGTATAGGTCTATGTGTGATGACTCTATGGGTCTCTATGTGATGGATATATGTGGTGCACATATCCTGGCACAAGTGCCGTGGTGTCGTCACCACCACTTAGTGGAGAATGCTCCTCCCCCTGCTCCTGCTTGTTGTTGTGCTCGGGAAGGAGAGACAAAACTAGACTAAAATCTCAACGATTTTCATTTTACCAAGTAAGGTCCACTGAGCTGAACATCTCATTTTATTACACGCTTTTATTTAACTGACTCTGTTGTTGTCGTATCCTCAAATCTTGTAACTCAATTTTAACCCACTTCCCAATGTGGTATCGACTGCAAACTTGGTATACTTATGTCATACTGATGACAAAACTAGATTATATAAAAAAAGTATTTTTAAACATTCATTTTTATATGTTATGATTCGGCTTGGGTCTAATTGTCCACGCTCAACTGACGTTGGCTGTAAATCACCACGGTCCCTTACGTTATGGCAAGCCTCGGGGCAACTTCCTGGAGTCGTGGAGTTCTGCCATTACTCGTACGGTACATTTCATTAAAGCGAGTTTAAAAAAAAAGTACTTTTAAATATTACTTATTCAGAAGCGACTTGGCACCAATGATAGCTCAACGAAGTGGTTCATCATCACGTGTAAATTACAGCAGCCAAATACTTTAAACGAATATTCATATTCTTGGTTCTTTCGGAAAAGTCAAGTAAATAGAAAACCAAAACATAAAAATATATATTAATAAAATAAATATAATATATTGCTTTTATTATTTTCAATATATATTATTTTGTATTTTTATTAAAAAATATATTTAAAACAAATATTTTTTTTTCTATTTACGTGACTTTACCAAAAGAACCAAGAATATTAATTCCTGCAGTCAAGTCAAAACTTTAAACGAATGTTTCTAAATGTGGAGGGAAGAGGACCCGGAGGACCCGGAGAAAAATCCACGCGACCACGGGGAGAGACAGAGACACGCAAACTCCAAATATACAGCAGGCATCAAGGTCGGGATCGAACCCAAACTCCTGTATACCAGGCGAGGAAGTTAGGGGGGAAAGCAGAGACAGCGAGAGGGGGGAGAATTAGTCAAACTCACACTCAATATTACTCACTAACCATGATACACTTACCATGATACCATCATACTCACACATTCACCATCATACTCACACACAAGCCCACACACATCAACAGTCGCCATTCACCATTATGTGGTGGTGACGTCACCACAATAACTCAGATGCCATGGTTTGACGGCTGTGCCAGGCTAAGTGCAGGAGGAGGTCATGGGCCAGACTCAGGTACCATGGGTTGACTGCAAGAGGAGGGCTAGACCCTGGTGCTATGGGTTAACTCGTGTGCCACCACCTGCACAACCACCACAATAACAACCACACAATTATAATCACAACAATAACCACGACCAACAACTGTAACCACAACTATAATGTAACCACAACTATAATTCCCACCAGCCACGCGGCCGTCTGGGAGTGCCTCTCAGCAGCAGCAGGGCCGAGCTCTGCTTGAAGCTGCGCCGTGAACTCAGCAGAACATGACGGCTGTGGGCCAGGCGCCTCCTCTGTCTCCTCCCACCGCCGCCGCCACTGCTGATGTGGACACACCGCGCGAGGTTCTCACCTTCAGGCTGAGTCAACGTAGAGGAGGCCCAGCGAGCCGCCGCTTCAGAAGCTTTCGCGAGCCACTGACAGTGGCCGTGAGCGGGAATTCAAATCAGCCGCTCGCCACCCACAATCCACAGCGCGCGCCGCCTCCACTCGGCCAAGGCCTAAGCGGAAGTAGCAGCGGGGGGAGGGGGGTGGGACATGGGGGGTGAGGGGGCGGGTCGCGAGGGGGAGGGGCATGGGCGGGGGTTGCCAGGAAGGGGGGAAAGGGGGGTGGGGTCGCGACGGCGGGACGGGGGGCATGGGGGGCAAAAGGGGGGTCACGATGGTGGGGAGGGCGGGGGCATGGGGGGAGTCGCGAGTGGGGGGCATGGGGGGGTCACGAGGGGGGCAGGAGCGGGCATGGGGTGGGTCACGAGGCTGGGCATGGTGTTAGTCACCAGGGGGGGGCAAGGGGGTCGAGAGGGGGAGGGTAGGGGGGCATGGGGTTTGAGGGGGGCAAGGGGGGGCACAGGGGGCATGAGGGGGCTGCGAGGGGGAGGGCGGGGGGCAAAGGGGGGTCACGAAGGGGAGGGGCAGGGGGGGCATGGGGGGGGTCGCGAGGGGGCGCGCGGGGGTCATGGGGGGGTCGCGAGGGGGGGCATGGTGGGAGTCATGAGGGGGGGGGGCTGGGGGGGCATGGGGAGGGAGTCGTGAGGGAGGGGCATGGGGAGGCATGGTTGGAATTGTGAGGGGGCAGGGGGGGTCGCGTGGGGGAGGGTAGGGGGGCATTGCGGGTTGAGGGGGAGCATGGGGGGGCAAGGGGGGTCGCGAGGGGGTGGCGGGGCGGCATGGGGGTCACGAGGGAGGGCGCAGGAGGGGCATGAGGGGGACCGCGAGGGGGAGGGTGGGGGGGCATGGGGGGTCAGGAAGGGAAGGGGCAGGGGGGGCATGAGGGGGGTCGTGAGGAGGGGCATGGGGGGGTTGCGAGGGGGCGCGCGGGGGTCATGGGGGGGTCGCGAGGGGGGGCATGGTGGGAGTCACGAGGGGGGGCTGGGGGGGCATGGGGAGGGAGTCGTGAGGGAGGGGCATGGGGGGTTGTGAGGGGGAGGGGCATGGGGGCAAGGGGGGTCACGAGGGGGGGGTACGGGGGCATGGGGGATTATGGGGGAGCAATGGGGGGCAAGGGTGGTCGCGAGGGGGGGGCGGGGGGTCACGATGGTGGGGGGAGCGGGGGGGGGGGGCAGGGGCGGTATGAGGGGGCTGGAAATAACAGCTGACATGGAAACATCACAGTCAGTTAATACTTTACCTGGTTAATAACGGCCTCCAAATGATTTCTCAGTTTGTACCCATCCTCTCGGTTGAAGTGTGTCTGTGTTTATATATCTGGATGGCTTCATAAACAAATCTCTGAAGGTAGCCGGTAGGTTTGCAGAGTACCTCCGTCTTGGAAAAATCAATTTCGTGCCCTCGTCGAGGAGGCAGCTCTCCTATCTTACAGTTACATGCTAATTTTTCACATTAACATTACTAGCCCCGACCACTTCTTTATGACCCTTGGGCTACACCCATTGCAAACCTTTTACAACAGTCTGCCTCAGCAGCAGACCATGCTTTCCCACCTGATGACGGACGCTTGTGTTGCGCCCGAAACATCGTGATTTATTATATTTTATACCTACGTGACTTCACCGAAAGATCTAAAGAGTATGATGATGGTTACGATAATCGAGATGGTGACAAGATGTTAAATACCTCGCCTAGTATACAAGAGGCTGTGGGTTCGATCCAGACCCTGATGGCTGTATATTGGAGTTTGCATGTCTCTCTCGCCGTGGTCGCATGGATTTTACTGCAGGTCCTCCGGTTTTTCCCTCCACATTTAAAAACATGCATTTAAAGTATTTGTCTGGTATAAATTTACACTCAATAAGCTACTTCATTGGGCTATAATTTGTGGCCAGGTCACTTCTAAATAAGAGTTATGTAGCTCAGTTGGCCTTACCTGGTCGAATAAAATTTTTACATTTTAGTTAAATCGGCTCCCTTAAATAGTAATATTTTTTTAATGTCTGAAAAAACAATGATTTACATAAATAATGCCAGTGTCATCTTCTTGGTTCTTTCGGTAAAGTCACGAAAAAGGGAAGTAATAAAATAATAAAAATAAAACATAATAAAATAATTCTCACGACGTTTCGGCCACAACGCAAGCAGCCGTTCTCAGGTGAAGACCAGGTCTGTCGGGGAGACAGCGTCTGAATGAAACACCACCACGCTTGGAGCGTATATTTAAGCTGGGTTGGAAGGGTGCCTTGACAAAAGAATTTGCATATCACGAGGAATTTAGCATTTTTATGGGAAATGCAGGTATGTGATTAGTACTACTTGTGAAATTCGTAGTAGGTGGGCGGGGGGTTTCAAAGTCATATTATGCCCGTGCATTATGCAGGATTAGCAGCATCAAAGGGAGGGGATAGGGGTAGCATTAATAAAGGGAAGGAATGTTAATAGTATGTAGCTGCAGTAACTAAACAACCACGTAAAAAACTAAAGTATAAACTACATAGTATCATCAGTATACTAAATATACTCTCCAATAAGCTGAGCTACTAACAGTAAGTAATAAATGACAATTCTACGTCGCAAAAAATATAATATGCTTCCAACTAAACTGCTCACATCAGCAGTGAATGTTTTCTGAACTGGTCCTGAACCCTCGCTTCAACAACTCTAGCCAGCGTGAAGTATGGTCAAGCAGCGCCCATAACTGACACAGCATAGAAGGGCCCTTCTTCAACCAGCAGTGGATTAACAAGGGGCTGTAAATAATTGTATACCACACTCATGAAACACGGGATATCAAACAATAACATCGTTTTTAATAGTTTTTCGAGTTCCTTTGTTGTTGTGTGGTATGCACGTGACGGTAAACTGGAGTACCTGAAGAAACTCCTACAGATGAAGGAGATAACACTAAAAGTTCCACAGCAACAAACTGCACTGCCTAGGCTGTAAGGTGTCCATCGCATGGTTGATTTAATGGGTGGTTGAATTATTGGGTGGTTGAGTGATGGGTGGGTGAGTTGTTGAGTGAGTGGGGTGAGTGAATGAGATGATGAGTGAGTGGTTGAGTGATTGCGTGGGTAGTAGGTGAGTGGGTGAGTTAGGGATTGGGTGAGTTAGGGATTGGGTGAGTGGGTGATTGGGTGGGTTGTTGAGTGAGTGTATGGGTTGAGTGAGTGGGGTGACTGAATGAGACAGTGAGTGAGTGGTTGAGTGATTGTATGGGTAGTGGGTGGTGAGCGGGTGGGTGAGTTGGTCGGTTGTTGAGTGAGGTGAGTGAATGGGTAGGTGATTGAGTGTATGGGTGGGTGGGTGGGTGAGTGGGTCAGTTAGTGGTTTGGTAAAGTGAGTTAGTGCGTTAGTGAGTAAGTGGGTGGGTAGGCGAGTGTGTGAGTGGGCTAGTGGCTACATGATTGAGCGGGTGGCTGGCTGAATGCAGGAGAAGATGGGTGGGTGAGGTAGTGGGTGAGTAAGTGGGTGGGTGAGTGAGTTAGTGATCAGGTGTGTAGTTTGGTGAGTGAGTGGGTGGGTTGGTGAATAGGTGGGTAAGTGAGTGAGTGGTTTAGTGAATGAGTGGTTGGGTGGGTGGGTTGTTGAGTGAGTCGGGTCGGTGGGTGGGCAGGTGAGTGAGTCGGTCAGGGAGTGGGTGGGTTCGACATGGAGGAAGTGGCTGGGTGAGTTAGTGGGTGGGTTTACACATGCGTCGGTTGGTATTTGGGTAAGTGATGTGAGTGAGTAGGTGAATGAGTAAGTGAACGTTACAAAGCTGTCCCTAAAGAGCTGCATGTGGCTCCAGAGCCGCAGGTTGCCCTGGTCTCGGGAGAAGAGACGGGTTGTAGGGGAGGAGCGGAAGCAGGTAAGTGAGGATGACTGCTTGATGATCACTCACCTTTGGGTGCCACTCCAATGCCCGGCTCGGCCCTCGTCCTCCACCCGTGTCCCACCCATCTCAACCTCCACCACCTGATCCTTCCCACAAGACTTCCCTGCCACATGCTATTCCCAACCTTCAAGTTGCTTACCCTATTCTCCACTCTACGCACGTTTCCCATCCATCACAGCATCACTACCCATTCACAGTTACCGCGTGTAATTGAGATGATGGAACGTTATAAATCGCTAAGCTTTAAAGCGACAGTAATTGAAGCTGTTAACAATTAATGCAAGGACTCTGCCTCCCTAATTATTTTCTCTGACGATGGCCCCACCCATAACGGAAAATCACGAACAACTCAAGCAGCAGAAATAACATGTTCCATGCAATTATTTCTAGATTTGAAGCTTTCGTGACTGCAAGGATTCATACTCTTTGGTTTTTTCGGTAAAGTCACGTAGGTAACGATTCCATCTGAAGATGGAAGCTTGTGTTCCCTCTGAAATGTCGTGATTTAATTTAGTTGTTTTCATTTTTTTTACCTACGTGACTTTACCGAAAAAAACAAAGGGTATGAATCCATGCAATTATGTTCCATGCAATTAGAATTGATTATCTTTACTATAGGCGAGCGGTGGTGGAGCGGTTCTCGTACTGCGCTACTGAACGTGCCGAGCTAAGCAGGCAGTTGCGGCTGCAAATAACCCCGGGTAGCCTTTAAAAGATTGTTGGTGCAAGTCTTGTTACCTTTTTAAGGCCCACACAGCGGACGGGGAGTCGTGTGGCAAACACCAGGCCCGGCTGCCTTTGTCTCCCCAGTGCTGGTATTTCCACACCATACCGGGTACTCATTTAAGGCTGCGACGACCTGAGCGCAGTGCCATTGCTGTTCCAGTAATTTACCTTCGTTCGGTTTGTCGCGCCTTCTCCCTGCACTTTTGCCCCCTCGCCGCTCGATTGCTTGGGAGATTTTTTTTACCGAATCGGACAGCATTGTTTTTTCTGTCAGTGCGAGGGGCTGTGTTGATGTAAAATACATTCATTTGAGGCCTTCTACTTTTCATTACAAAGATTCGACTGAAATGAACCCAGCAGGACGCGCGCATCTCATTCTGGAATACGAGGAATTGAAATATATCAACTGGAGTCGAGCCAGGTGAGAAGACTTATGTGGGTTTATGAACCGGTCTGTGCAGACTATTGCTTGCTATCCCCTCTTAAAGCCTTGGGGGATTTCCTCTG